TTTAGAAGTAGAGTTATACAACATTTTGAAGACCCAGTCAGGAGTCTAGCAGCAGCATTCTGTACAGACTACAACCGATCTAGGGAAGTTTTGGTTCAACATGTGTACAGCACATTACAAAAATCCAGGCGAAATGAAACAAAAGCATGAATTAATATTTCCAGTTCTGGATGAGAGAGTATGGCTGGCAATGTTTCGAAGATGGTAGAAACAGGAACGAACCAGAGACTTTACATGATTTTCCAGAGTAAAACCTGAGTCAAAGGTTATCCCAAGGTGTCTAACCTAAGATTTAGCAAAATAACCAAGAGGCCCAAGGATCTGTTTTATCATTATAGTTGTTTTTTCTGGTGCAAAGATGATTATTACTTCAGTTTTCTCTCGATTTAGATGGAGAAAAACTTTCAGTCATCCAGCTTTTAATTGACTCCAGACAGTTAAGTAAAATGAGTAGTTTCGAAACTTCAATTGGAAGAAAATCAGACCAAGAGGGAGCAGATAGAGCAGAAACAACAATGGCCCCAAAACAGAGCCATGTGGAACGCCAAAATGAACAGGGCAGGAATGGGATCTAGATGTAGCCAAGAAGATTGAGCTATCAGACAAGTAAGAGGACGACCATTTCTAAGCAGAACTAAAAGTGTGGCACTTTGAGCATGGGTTGGGGATGATGCTCATCTACTACAACATCTAATTATGTGTGAAAGTGGCTGCACCTTCACCGTGTTTCCTCTAAAGTCAATAGATGTGCGTTGACTCCAAAATGTCTTCACTTATTCATCCAAAAATTATTTCCTGAAAGTCATAAAAATATAACATTTTCACTTAGTATGAGGTGAGAATTCCTAACTCTGTTGGATTTGGAAGTAAATTTGCATTTAAAGGTTAATATTGAGCTCAGCGGCATAAAACAGACGCGTCGCTCCCGAACACAGGACAGGAGATGAGCTGCGGGAAAACAGGAGCGAAACAGGAGTAAAAGCAGAGAACAATGGCTGTTGCCTTGCTGCTATTTGGGACTTTTAGTCACTATCAAGTTCATTGACCAGACTTCTGCTCAACAACCAGTCACGTTAGAGTGAACCTGAAAGCCTGTTTTAGCCCACAATCAACACCCTGCAGATGCTGTCATGGTTGAGCACACTCCACTCCCCGTCCACATGGGAGAAAGTGAGCCACTGCTGCCCTGCTCTGTGCTACACGTTGTTGTTTTTTTCTTGCAGACTGCTGGTTCACGATGATATGTGAGTCATAACACTCTCTGCCTTTTGGGAAAAAAAGTGTGAGCATACACGGTGACATCACGCATTCTATGTATTTTTAATAACCAGGCTGACTGCTTTGGGTTTGTGCAGCGTAATAGTCACACCACATTTCAGAATTTGTCGACCGTAGAAGAGAAAGCTGCTACTGAATTCCTCTAAGCATCCCAGGCTCCTCGGAGTTGACCAGATTCAAGTCAATTGGTGCATTAGGCTCAGCACGATAACTGGTTAGACTGGAGATTGTTCTCAGCTGGATATTTAAAAGCTGCAATATCTTCCTGTGCACAATTTCCAGCACTCATTAATGAAAGCAGTCACTCAGAGCTGAGGAAAAGCCCTGCTGTGGGATTAAAAAAACAGTGCTTGTTGCTCTCCTTTGAAAAGGACAAACTAAAAATTGCATGCAGTTTATTGATTTACATTTAATAGCTGCAAGGGAATAGTTTTTCTTTTGTTTAGGAAAAAAAGAGATTATGTTACATGTAAAATGAATTTCTATCGAGTGTTTCATCTCTCTGGTCTGAATTCAGCCTCCCACAATAATAAAAAAAAGGTTTTATTATAAATAAATTATTGCTGACTTTGTGTGTTACTCAAACTAAGGATTTATTTTAGACGGCAGCCGAACATATTCCTTTTGTATAAATGTGTGATGCAATGTGAAAGTGAAGACTTTGATTCGGGTGCAAATTTATTCTGCGTGAAGATTACTTTGTAAAAATCTGCCTTTTGCACTTTTTCTTATTCTGTGTGACTGCAGATTTGTAAAATGGCATTTCAAAAGAAGATGAAGATAATTTAAAAAGTGTAACACACCACGATGTGTTTAATTAACATTGGATGACAATACTTCAGACTTTGTCATAGTTTAGTCATCCAGATGTTCAGCTCATTCACAAGAAGGATTTTGTAACTTTTATTTATTTATTTAATGTTTTACTTTTATATTAAAAACACTTTATTAGGAAATAATTCCTATTCAGTTAAATTAAATTCAGTTTATTTATATAGCGCCAAGTCACAGCAGAAGTCGTCTCAGGGCACTGAACAGAAACATTCATATATATAAAAGTAAGTTAATAACCTTATTTATCTGAGGAGCAGACTGCTTTGAGTTTAACTCAATCACAGAACTCTCATCTTGAGCAAGCACGAAGGCGACAGTGGAAAGGAAAAACTCCCTCATGAGGAAGAAACTTTTAGCAGAACCAGGCTCAGGACAAGCGGCCATCTGCTTCGACCAGCTGGGTTTTAAGAGGAACAGATACACAATGGCAGGTCCAGAATCACATAAGATAGAAACAATATCAAATGAAATATTATTCAATTTTAACTATTCATTTAAAGAAATTAGGTCAATTTGTCCTCCAGTAGTCTAAGCCTATAGCAGCATAAGAAGTCAACCCTAACTATAGGATTTATCACAAAGTAAAGTCTTAATCTCAGCCTTAAAACTGGACAATGTGTCAGCCTCACAGACAGAAACTGGAATTTGGTTCCACAAGAGAGGAGCCTGATAACTGAAAGATCTTCCTCCCTCTGCTTTTGGAAACTCTAGGAACCACAAGTAAACCTGCAGTCTGAGAGCAAAGTGCTCTGTTAGGAAAATAATGAAAAATAAGATCTGTAATATAAGATGGAGCTAGATAGTTGAGAGATATGTAGGTTATTAATTTCCTTCAAAATCATTCCTTACTTTGAAAACTGCTTCAACATATTTTTTTCTTCTTATGTTACTTTTAGTTAGTTAGCCTTTTGCTACTTTTAGCCTTAAGCTACCATGCTCCTAGTTTAGCTTTAAGCTACTGCACTACGTTTTGTTAACTTTGATTTTTGGCTACCATATTGGGGGCAGAGATGAGGTAGAGGTAGAGCAGCCGACCTGGGACCAGAAAGTCGCAGTTCGACTCCCATATGTCGTGGTGTCTCTGAGGAAGACACCCAATCCCCAACTGCTCCCTCCCTGGGTTCTCAATAGCTGCCCACTGCTCCACCTGGGTGTATCCTAGGTGTGATGGGTTACATGCAGAGAACCAATTTCATCTTTGTATAGAAACAATGATGACAACTTATACAGTAGCTTTTAGCTATTTTGCAGCTGCATTTAGCTAATGTTAGCTAATGATTTGTTACGTTTAGCTTCCAGTTTGTGTTCTACTTTGTTTTTGCTTTAAGCTAGTGCTCTGTTCTTTTAGCTTTGACAGCTTAGTTTCAGTTTCTTTGCTGCGTTGATGCAGAAATTGCCATTCCTCTTGTTGCACTTGATTTTATAGATGCTGCTGCAGTTCTGATTGAATTGGCACCATGTTGAACTAAGAGCATGAAAATCTACGCCGTCAAGATTTTGGCCACTTACATCGTCACCATCTGTTGTTTAAAAGATCGCAGCTTATTCTGGCAGATTGCATCCAATTTCTAAACATAAAGTGTGTGGTCCAAGATGGCCAATCTGTCAGTCCTGTGGACACCCATTGGAGAGACAACAAGACCTTTGTCCAACAGAACACATGGCTCCGGAGGGCATGAGGGGGAGTCCAGAGGGTGAAGGACGTTTTAGAGAAAGTTATCTGATTCTGTCCTGAAAACACAGGAGTTGGCAGCATAGTGCCTGATGGCTTCTTCTCCCTCTTCTTCGTCTGCATTAAGTTGTTCCTGAAGCTCCTGCAGAGCTGAACAGGTGAGCCGGGCCCAGACAGATGTTGTAACAGAAGGTGGAAGGATATGAAAGACTGCATGAATCAAAGTCTGACCCAGACAGAACACCCCCCCCCCCCAAAAAAAAAAAAAAAACAGGCATAATTAAAGACCTGTCATTCCAAGAAAGAATGTTTACCACCTGCTTCCTTTCATGCCAGAGTTTTTAACTAAGATCATCTTATGTGAAGAAATAAAGTTACAATTGTCTTGGTTAAGCAGAAAATAATGCATCAAACTTTAGCTCAGTGTGTGTTAAATTGAGATATTGCCCTTTTTGTCTTGGCTAATGTTAAATATACGTCTGACATCTTGAATTAAACTGGCCCCAAAGGTTAATTATTTGCAGATGTACCTCCCGTGATTAAATTCTGAAAGGTTTATCAAAACCCATCCAGTGGTTCATGAGATATTTGGCTAACAGACAAACAGGGTTGACTCCAACAGTTAACGCTAAAGATTTAAGCACAGACCTTGAGCAATGAGCAGCACTTGCAGTATGTGTTGTAAATGATTCTCAGCTACTACCACGCCAAGGTTCAGCTCAACATCTGTAAAACCGACTCAGTTATAGTGGTTTATTTATTTTCTAAATTCAGTTGGCTGTGGATGCCATCTTGATATGGGTTGACTCAAAAATCTAACCAGTTGTAGATGTTTATCCACTGATCACTGAGTAAAAGTTACATTGCATTTCGTTTAGTGGTTTGCGAGATATTTTGCTAACAGACGCACGCTCAGGAAAAAAGAAAACATGATCACCCTCATTTGCATTTTGCAGCTATAATAAGGTATTTTATCCTCAGATTGTCATATTTTCCTAGAATAAATATGCATACATGTGCATGCGCACCACGTGGACTAAAAATGAAAATAGGGCCCCATTATAATCCAATTAGTGTCGGCATTAATAACCCTGCAAAGTTGGAAGAAAGAGAAAAAAACATTCGTCTCAGAAGGAAAAAAAAGAAGCTTTAATCACAGAATAAATGCATTCAGGGTGAGAAGATGCTTCAGCCTTTTTCCACACTCACTCACCAGCTCATCCAGAATATTGTCTGTTTGACAAAACATGCAGCACATCTCCGTCTCCATTGCGTTTTTTTTAAAGCAGCAGATCCACAATCTTTACCACAAACTGCTGCCCAAGTGTTTAAAAAGGCCACAGCTCAGGGAAATAGTTTTTATTTTAATTTGGCTGTTTGATCCACTCGGAGCATCCTCCATCCATCAGTAGGCTCCAACAATGACCGCCTCCGTCTCCTTCGACGGTCTCCTGTCCGTCACCAGAAAGTTGATCATCCCCTCGGACTTTATGAGGAGGTTGCAGCCCAGGAAGAAGATGCCAAACACCACGGTGAGGGACAGGACGCACATGACGGCAATCTGGACCACCCGCATGATGAAGAGGCTCCTCTCATCCGGAGCGGCCGCCACGAAGCCGTCATCCGTCACCACCGAGGAGAAGTTGCAGCAGAAGAACTCCTCGGTTTTGTTGAAGAGTCCTCCTTCTGTCTGGTTGAAGCCGGTGTGGTTCATCTCTGCCGCGGAAACTTCCACAGAGCCTGCAGGCGGAGGAGAGGGAGAGCCTCAGTCCCGCAGGAGCTGCGCGTCAAGTGAGGATGAGGAGGCGATGAGGTGAAAAAGTTCCGCTCTTCCCTTGGAAGTGAAAGAGATGCGCATCGCTGGAGGTTTCATGCGCTTCGGTGTCGGTCCCTGATCCAAATGGTGGCACGGACCCAGTTCAACAGACTCGGTCTCTGCGCAGGACACAGTCAGAGCGCCACCCCACGACCACACCGAGACCGTCCCTGCAGCCTTTGTGGTCCACGGGGGACATTTTGTGCACAGATTAGTGTTTGCACCAGAGGCGTAGCCAGGATGACTTTACAGATGGGCCTCCGCAGGGGCACCAGCTTAGTGCCCCTCATGTCTACAGCCGTGCTTGACAGGAAGTCGTGACTGTTCCTGAAAGTTTATGCAGAGGATGTGCATGCATCTTGAGTTAAAGGCCCCGCGGTTCTTGTCTTTGCTGAAGTTTGATTTTTAAAACAAGCAGAAAGGAAGCTGAAGCTAAAAGCTAAAAGTAGCAAAAAAACGATAAAACATGAGCTAGAATGAAAATAAAAACAAAACACTGGAAAGGCTGTTGAAATGTGCCGAAGAAGCTTAACAGCTGAACTTCCAAAGTTGGGAGGAATATTTGTAGGAGACAATAAATAAATAAATAAATACAATAAATAAATAAATAAATAAAAGACTAAAGTGCATAAAGACATGAAAAGATGTCAAGGGAGAGAAGAAAAGATAAAAAAAACACACAAGTGGACATAAAGAAGCCTTGGGAGGCATGAAAAGACAAAAAATAAAAATAAAAATTGAAAAACTGCAGAAAGAGACAAAAAAAAAATGCAGAAAATACACAGAACTGTTTTTAAAGAGCCCAAGGTTCAAAAGGATGTGAAGAGCCTTTCATCTTCCAATAAAAGAATGATGGTCATTTCCTTATATAGTATATAAAATTTAAAAAAAAAGAAATAAAGTCATAGGAACATCATGAATGAGAAGAACGTTTTGAGAGATGAAAGATTAAATGAAAACAAGGCATGCAGAAAAAGTTAGATGCAAAAAAAAAAAAATGCTGACTCAGAATTTACATGAAACAACTTGAACAGCTGCAAACAGTTAGAACTACTTCATCAACTCTTTCTACATTTTGCCATGAAACCTTCAGCAAACCTTTCATGAATGTGCTACCATATTTAATGATCAGGATAAATATTCATCAGTTCATTTTTATTAATTGTTATTACTCTTTGTTCAGTCCAACGTTTCTTAATGCGTCACCACTGAGAGAAACGTTTCTACTCAGCATTACATTTAGTTATAAAAGCAGCTGCTGATGTATCAAATCAGCTGATATTCTGTATTAAACTTTAAACCATGAACTATCTGTTTATCAGGATGTTTGAGGAAAACCAAGTGAGCTTTGGTCAGAACGAAACATGAATTTTGCAGCTATTTTGCAAAATAGATATAAAAGGGGGCAAATAATACAATTCTGGGTGTTGTTCTTGTACATCATCAGTACAGACTCTAAAAAATTCAACTCACAGGCCAAAAAGGGGGTTTTGTGGAGATGATTTAGTCCTAAATCCAACTTTGGGAACCGTACACCTCAACAGTCCTTAAAATCCTGCTGGACCAACTGAATCAGGCACAGACGCTACATAAATCATTAAAGCTAAACTATTAAATCTGCAATGGTCAGCTTACAGAAGATATAGGACTCCAAAATAAAAATGAGTATTTAACTATTAAGAAAGCTTATTTGTAGGTAGCTTACTTGTTAATTACTGATTCCACATGCAGACATACTGGGGGACTGAGGGTCACAGACAATGATTTATCAAATGTTTTCATCAACTACAGCTTCATCAAGGAGATCAGCCTTGTTTGTTGATCCTGTTCATTATTTACACACAAAATGCAGTCATCAATAGATTTTATCTGCCTAATTAAAGCTTAGATCAAACATAATAAAAAAGTCACATTAAAATTGTTCAGAGTCCATACTTTAGCTGCTTTTTACTGACACTATATCCAAGTTTTAATGATAAAATGTGAACAGGCACAACACTGTGTTCTCATTTTAACCAGCAGGTGGCAGCATTGTTCAACTAGAGTCAAAACAAGAACTACTGCTGCTGCTGTTTTTAGTAAAGAGTGTTACCAATGGACACAATTTGAGGAACATATTTGTGGAAATGTTTATGTATAATTGTTGGCTATATAGCAGTTGCTGTGTGTACTTCAGTTCATTTTTTGGTCTTGTGGAGGAGCTCCTACCAGGACTGAAAAACCTGACCCATATCACCGGGAGATAAAACCAGACAGTTGTTTTCATCTGGCCTATAATGTGACATCAAGCTTGACAAGGTGAATGAGATGAAAGTGATCATATGAAACCTTTTAAAACAGTCTTGTTTGAAACGTTTCAATCCCCTTAAGCACTTTTTGTTGCATTAGAGACGATTATTTAGTTCATGTTTTTATTTGATTTCATTACCTTATTTTTGCTATTTCCTGTTGCAAAGATAAAAGACAAAACAAAAGTTTGGAAGCATTATATTAGATTGAAATAAGATTTTTTTTTCCTCAAAAAAGCAAAACTTTCCACGTCAGATAAAAGTAAGTAAAAATCATATCTTAAAGGAACATAAAATACATCAGCAATGACTGGACGGGACATTTCTTACAGATTAGGAACCTTTATTTGTTTACAGCTGTGATTTTGCAGATGCAAAATCCTTCAGTTGATTTTCTACTGTCTGCCAAGTTTTCAGTTACTGGCTTTTTGGTACTAAAATATTATTTTATGTGTTAAACTGTGTCATTTTTGGTAGATTATGTTAAATTAATAGGATTAAAATATGCTTCAATTAAGAACAAAGTGTAAAAAAGACAAAATAAAGTTAATTATATGATAAGTTGTCAATAGCTGTCAAACCACTGGTTCATTTATTGAGTTCAGGAGATATTTTATGCCTGATTTTAAAGTTAGATTTATTTGGCCTAATAAACAAGGATTCAGATGTGCAGTTGGCTCAAACACCAAAATGAATCTACGTTTAAAACCTTAACTTTTATTATTAGGTATGGCTGGAAAACTGCCAAAGACAAAAAAACGTAGAAAAAAAATGGAAATTGGACATTTTCCAGCAAACCAGAAGTATTTGTGGAATATGTTTTTTATCAGCAACATTTAGTAGCACCAGAAATCCATGAGCAGTCACCAAGGACTGTTGTTCCTCCAGTCACCTGCATTTGCTGCTTCCCCAGTCACTTCTGGGTCCACTGAGCTTTTGGACGATGACAACGCCTATCCATCCTAAGACTACAGTGTCTCGCTCCCGGGCCTCCAGGGTCCCATGCTCCTGAGACTTCAGGGCACATAGCCTCTTACTGCATCTTTGTGGGAGGTCGTTGACGATGCTCCACCGCTGTGTGTCTCTGTGGGGGGCAGCCATGACGCCCCATCTGCTTCTGATCCAACAGATGCTTCTGCTCTGAGCTCTAGGACTCTGGTGAGCCCCAAGCCTCTGCAACCTCCCCTGGTTATTCATCTGCAGCAGCACCCTCTGGTTCATTATCTGCCATCACAGTCCCCCCTTCATTGCCTGTCACCTCAGCGCCCCCTCTTTGACCCCCCCGACCCCGCAGCGCTCCCCTCTGTGGTCCTATTTGTTTTTTCCCATGGTCTTATTTCCTGTTTTTTTAATCCTTGCATTTTTCTTTGTGCCCTCCATCTTGCTTTTCTTCCTCCCATCTGAGTCATTTTGTTTCAATATGTCAGGTGCTGTCCCTTGAAGGGGGGGGGGGGTACTGTCATAGTCGGTGTTTGTTCTGTTTTTCATTGAGTCTCTTAAGTTGATCTTTTAGTCATATTTATCCTTGTGGTTTATGTGTTATTTTTCTGTTCCTTATGTTTGGACTAAGCCTGTTTTCCATGATTAATTACCCAGGTGCTATCACTTTTCTCTCCCCCCACGTTCTATTGAAACCATTTCTGATCACCACTCTAACAGTGGTTCATTGTCCTGACTACAGCCAGATGTCTCAGTCCTTCTTGTGCTCCTCGTGTTCGGAAATCTCGCTGCTATGCCAGCCTTTGTTTTGGTTTATTTAATTAATAAGTTTTATTTTACCTACGCTCCTTGTGTCTGCCTGCATCTGGGTCAAAACCCTATATACAGGGCCATTCAACTAAATTGATCAGGGGCCACAGTTATTGGAAGTCAAGAGCTCAGGGGCCAGATATCCAGCAGTTATTGTCATTTGTTTTATGGTTTAAAATCTAGTTTTATTAAAATGAACCCATTGGTGGGCCGAACTGAGCTCATCCGTGGGCCTAATTTGGCCCCCGGGCTGCCAGTTGAATAGCCCTGTCATATGATTGTGACAGAATCGGACACTTCTAGATGTATAAAATAGACTACTGTATTTGGGATTATTTCTTCAGGAAATTATTAATTAAGTAATTAGTTTGAGTAGTACTTTACCAAACACAAGTTTTTTTTTTTAGGAAAATTACTGAGCAAATGAGCAGTAACATGGGCAGGACAAAAAAAAAAAAAAAGAAAAAAGAAAAAAAAGAAAGAAACTGTCCAGATGACCTGACTGAAAATTGTTGGACTGTATACCTGGATGATTGAGCATGGACTTTGTTGGTTTTGAACCAGTTTGACATGACTGTCCACGAGGGCCGGCACCAGAGGAGGGGGCGAGCCAAAGACACCATCTTAGCACCAACATATCTGGTTTGTTCCACTTTTGAGTAAGTTGTTGAGGGAAGAATCAGTTTTGTGTTGTGTTTCCTTGACTGATGAAGCCTTCTGGATGGAAGGTAAAACATTTCAGCACAAAAAAAAAAAAAAAGAAACTGTCCAGATGACCTGACTGAAAATTGTTGGGCATGGGAAGGACAGATAGGCAAGCAAAACCAGACATATGTTAAATAAGTACATGACTTTAAATGTTAATGTTTTAAAGCTAGAAATTAAATATAGTCTTCATAATAAAACAAAAATTAAAACGTGCTGAAGAACCATTCGATGAATAAAATCCTCAAACTCAACTCTGGTCTGGGAGTTTAGCTTGTAGTGCACGCGCTCTGAGCCTCCTCCTGAGTGACGTGTCCGTCAGCCAATCAGAGAGGAGACACGCGCCAGCTGCAGGTCGAGGTAAGATTGTGTGTGTGTGTGTGGAGCGAGATTACCTCGTGCCCGCTACGTGCTCCTCCCCACTCGTGGAACAGGTGCGCGCGGAAGGACATTTCGTGTTTCCGACAGCTCGCGCTCGTTTAACCGAACAAGAACACCCGTCTAGACTCGTCATATCGACCAGTTTCACTGCGGCTGTGGAGGGGTGGGAACAAAAAACAATCTCACATCAAAGAGTCCAAGCAGGTGCCGACCATCATCATGGGAGGCTCGGCTGGACGGACGGTGTCCCGCTGGACTGCGGACAACCCCGTGCTCAGATGGACTGTAACCTAGGGGTCGTTTCGGGACGCTCTCCGCTTTAAACTGAGTGTTTTTCTAGTTTAAATAAGTCTCTATTTAACGTTCAACACGTTGCCGGGGAGCGAGGCTGGAGCAGGTCACCGGTTCACCGCGTCCTTCGTTTAGGTGAGTAGACTGTCCTGGTTATGTGACGCGGTTTGCATCGGATAAATCATAATGTCACAAATAATACAGAGCATAAAGATGGTTGTAGGTGTCAAGTGTTGCATTTCAGTGAGCAGATATATTGTCACATGCAATATATATAAATAAATAAATATATATATATACTGCCACATTTCTATTTACCAAAATAAACAGTCATTGGTCTAATGGGGCTAAAGAGATCAGCTTTATAATCGCCTTCTGTTCATGCCAGGATTAGGTTTAAATGAGCATTTTCAGTGCTGGTGCCAGTGGCAGCATGGCAGTTTTGAAACTGTTTCATGCAAATAGCCTACAGTGTTCTGACAAAGTATTTGCACCCTTCTTTTGACCACATTTGTGCACTACAAGCTTCAAAGTATTTTACTGGGGCTCAGCACAAAGTAGTGGGAGGTGTAAGGAAAACATAAAACTGAAAAGTGAGGTGTGCGTTGATGCTCAGTCCATCTTAGTTAATATTTTATCTGCAATCATAGCTGCAAGTCTTAACCTAGAGAATGCAACTTTTGGCCCACTTTTCTTTGCAAACAGCTCAAGCTCAGTCAGATTAAAGAGTGTCAGTGGACAGATGCACCTGAGCACTGGATCTGTGCAGGTAGAGTTCCCATGAGCTTCTTGGCTGCTGGGATTTTGTTTTACAACCCTTTCCTGCTTTAAATTCCTGAGCAACTGTATCTCTGACCTGTGTAATGTGTTTCTTGTGCTTCATGATGCTGTTAAATCCCTAATGTTCTGTAACAGAACAGAACAGCTGAAATGACTTCTTTGGCTGCGCTTCATTTTTAGTATCGGAGTTAAAGGGTGCTGAATACAAACACACACCGCACTTAAAAAATGTCATTTGTAAAACAAATTGGAAACGTGCAGCCATGTTCTTCTACTTTACAATTGTGTGTATTATTGTGTTTGTGCATCACATACATTTCTAGTAAAATACTTTGAAGGTAATGACAGGATGCAGAAGAGTTGAATGGGCACGTTTTCTTGGGACTTTACGTACCAAATTGCAACATTTAAGAACTGTTGCTTTCTGATTGAGATTAACACCTGCCCACACTCCTTACTCCTGAAATATTATTTAACTTTTCAATCTGCCTTGGATTTTCTTCCTGTCAAAAAGGTTCAAATGATTTAAGTTGATTTACTGTAATTATTGTAATTAATCTTTTGATCTGAATGAGTTTTGACCACTGCGTCTGTATTTTAAACAGTTATAATGAAGGATGTGGTCTGAATCACAAAGTTGATTGTTGCACTTTGAGTAAATGTGTTTTTGAACGTTGACATTTGGGTGCCTGTTAATCCCACAGACGTTTTTTTTTTCTTCTAGTTCTTAACCTACAATCTGCTTCACACCCTGCTCGTGTTAATAAAAGACACAAGTGTGCAAACATTAAAATCTCAGTATTGGTCCAAGTTAGACTGACACCATGATTTAAAGCTCCTAAAACTTGCTTTTTTTCTGTCTACAGAAAACGACAAATAACTTTGGTTTGAACCGACAAATACAGAGGTCTCAAAAACAAAATCAAAAAGAAAGAAAGCTTGCAAGAAATGTTTGACCACATTTTCCTCCTAACGAATGGATCCACTGTCAAGTCTAGATGTAAGGCCGGTCCAGTAGTTCACCTGCACATTAGTATGCTGCAACTGAAAAATATGGAAATTAGCCAGATTTCCTGCAGGATATGCTGCAGGCGTTTTCCACTTGCAAAAAATAACTAAGTTATTTTTTTTAAATCAGCGTTTTCCTTAAAGATGAAACGTTAGTGTCGAAATAAGAGTAAGCTAAGAACAGTCAGACTCAAAATACGCCTGATGTAATGTTATCTGATACAGCTCCGAGGAATATTTGTTCCCCCATCATATTACAGCAACTCACAATGGGATGTTTGTCCTGTCATTATTTAGCAGGTGTACACAGTCACCAACTAACCTCAAATCAGTAGAGGACCATCAACCTTAAAACACCCCTCCCTTCTCCCCTCTAAACCCCATATTAGATTACTGCAGTCTGTTCAATCTGTGAAACATTGTACATATAAAACAACCGGTTCTTCCAACATCCATCTTCTAGCACCAACGCAAGCATAAAATCTGTTTTGCAAGTAAACAATGTGAATTTGTTCATCTCCATGCGAGCTACTCAAAAGGTGGCTGACCTGGTTGCTGTTGATCTTAGTAAACCTGTTAATGGTTGTGCTGCTGCTTCTTTGGTCTGTTCCAGTCAGTTTCTCTATGCCAGATACGTTTCAGATGTTTAATTTTGTTGTCTCTTTACTCCAAAATTATACTGTTATTGATGCAAGATTGTTCAGCTTTGTAAGGTTTTTATTTTATTTACGGTTTAACCACAAGACAGGTTTCAGTATATTTAGCATTTTCTTTCAGGCGCTTCAGTGACTTCATGCCCTGCAACTTAAAATCCTAGATTAATCAGTAATCATTTTCCTTCCCAGTGTCATGTAAAGGAACCAGTCCACGGTGTATATTATATTTCTATCAGCATCAAAGAGCAACAATTGTTTGTGCTTTTCACATTTGACAGGCTGAATGCATTTTGCCACCACTCCCATTCCATACCACTTATGTTATAACGCCTTACAACAAAAACGCTATAATTTCAGTCAAGGCATTTTGTTCTTCATCAGAAATATTGTGAAGCCCAAATTCTATGCCAGGGAGATATTTAACCTCCTCAAACTGCCTCTGGTATCAAAGCTGCCCAGATGGTCGTAGCAGCTCTGCTGATGAAGTAGGGGAAGTCTTTAAAGGGGAAATGAGCACTTACTCATCCTTTCAAATGGGAGAATGAGAAGGGTCAGCGGGCAGATCAATTGATGATTTTTTTCTTATTGTATTATAAATGGGTGTGCACGCACTCGGGGAGCAAAACCGTGATTGAAAATGACAAGGTTGTAATAAACTTATTATGTTTAATAAATTCTTGATGGCAACATAAATTAAAGTGGCTTTTACACTATCTAATATTTTCAGTACAGACTTGTAGACATTGTAAGCCAACAATATTATCAAATCATAATTTATACACTGAATGTGTTTTTCCCCATTGTCCTTTTTCATTTTTTAGATGCACCAGCTGTTTGGTCATCAGTTTTTTTTTTTTTGACCGAGAATAGATTAAAGAGTGCCATCAGAGGAATTTCATGGTTTGATTTATGGCTGCACTGTATTAGAAACACTAAGGCTGCGCGTTGTTGTTTAATATTGCAATAACTATATCAGTTGAGATAAATGTGTATGTTCCTCACTCCTCACTTTTACTTTGGTCATCATCTAAATCTTATGTGGGCATCAAGGCCAGTGAGAAGCCATTAGCTTTAATAAATATTAGCATGCGGATCGTGAAAGGACTCTATACTTTTTGTTTTTACTGGTGTGCACTATCATTGTTTTGCTTCTGGCAAACTGCTGTGATCTGCTAAAATTACTGAACAATTCATCTGTTTTAGCCATCAGACAGTATGGCAGGAAGACTTTTCTTCTTAACAAGAAAGTCCTGGGTTTTATAACGCAGCTATTTTATTATTTTTTTTAATTTGCATGTTCCCTCTGAGCATGCATGGGTTTTCTCCAGGAGCACTGTTTTACTCCTGCGGTCCACAATTGTGTATTTTAGGTTAATTGGATATTCTAAATTGACCTTAGTGAGAGTCAGTGTCGTGACTGATTGATTTTATATTTCTCTGTGTGAGCCTGTGATGGACTCGTGACCTATCCAGGGTATAAGCTTTCTCTCACCCACTGACAGCTGGAAAGAGACCCTGCAACCTATAGGACAAAAAAAATACATACTCCTTGCCTTCTTATTTGTCTTTTTTTATTTTTATTTTGAAGGATGATGCCTCCTGATCAAGCATGCTTGGCCTCAACCCTGTTTCCTCACCCCTTGGTCAGAGTTCAAACGCGTCGCCCGCAGCCTGAAACCTCGTAGGCCCTCGCTTTTATCCTCCTCGTCTGTCTGCCTGGCTGACATCCCTGAGAGGTGATGCGACGGTTTGTTTACTGCAAGGTGGTGCTGACCACCTCCTTAGTGTGGGTCCTGGTGGATGTTTTCTTGCTGCTGTACTTCAGCGAGTGTAACAAATGTGATGACAGAAAGGATCGCTCTCTGCTCCCTGCCCTCCGAGGTGAGTTTACAACTATGTCCACACCTTTTGCTCCCAGATGGGATTGAAGAAGTTGTAAAGTTTCAAGTTGCTAAATCTCAGATTCAGTAAAGCTTGGCTGTCTTGCTGCTTCAGTGCTATTAAACATTGGATTTCAAGAGGTTTTTTTTTTTTTTTTTTTGTAATTTAGAGGAAAAATCAAGTCTTGTAGATTTGAGAAAGTTATTTTAAGGTTTAAATGTTTTATTTTAACATAATAATATATATAATTCTTACAGAAAGAAGCATTTTTATAGTGGTAGTTTATTTTAAACTTTGCTGCTATGATGTTGTATGTTCTGCACATAGGGTACTATATTCTCCAACATTTTTCAAGGTTCAAGGTACTTTATTGTCACTACATCACATGTGGTACATGAGGTGGAACGAAATTGTGTACTCAAGGTCTCTATTACACCCCAAAATAGCAAAAATATAAAGTGTAAAAAGAAACACTATACAAGGATCTAAGATATACACTAAACGAACACTAGCCGATACGCTAAAAGATCTAAGATCTACGCTAAACACTAATAATGTAAAACAATATGGTATATTAAACAGCAGCCCAAAAGTGAGTCTGTTGTGAACAGATGGGTATGAATACAACAGCATAAAAGCAAGAGATCCGCAGCATGGATATCAGCAGCACATATAAGTAACATATCACCAATTAAAGTGGCATTACGATGATTTTTTTTTTCTCACACAGTGAAAATCGTGGTTAGGGATTTATGAGTCTAACAGCTTCAGGGTAGAACCTGCTCATAAGCGTAGTGGCTCTACACTTAATGCTCCGCAACCTTCTGCTTAAGGAGAGTGTGTGTGTGTGTGTGTGTGTGTGTGTGTGGGGGGGGGGGGGGGTGCTGGGTGAGTGGGGTCCTTCATGATGCAGGTGGCCCTCTTCCTGCATCTGGAGGTGTAGATGTCTGTGATGGTGGGGAGACTGACTCAAACAGACTTCTGTGCAGCCTTCACCACTCTCTGCAAATCGTTTCTTTCTGCAGCTGTGCAGCCTCCATGCCATACGTTAATGTTGGAGCACAGGATGCTCTCCACTGCCCACCTGCAGAAGGTGGTGAGGACTGAGCTTCCCAGACCAGCTCATCTCAGCTGCCTGAGGAAGTAGAGTCTCTGATGAGCTTTCTTGATCAGGCTGGTGGTAGTGTTGCCCTGATGTTTGAAATTCTGTTTAATTGTTGTCATTGTTGAGCTGTGGTTGCAAGATTGCTTTAGAAAGCCCAAGTTTTCTATACTTTTAAAGTAAACTAATCAAAAAACAACCATTTTTTACACCTCACTTACAAATCTTCTCATTTTTCTGGTTCTTTCAAAAAGTGTTTGACTTCAAATGGTTGATGAACTGCTGGGACTTTTGGAAGCTAAGAGCAATTTTTGAAGTTGTGTAGAAAGGCAAAAAAGTCCATTCTCAATAATCCAGGTACAAAATCCAACACTGTTCAGTCGGGTCATCTGGACAGTTTCTTTTTTTTTTTGTGCTGAAACGTTTCACCTTCCATCCAGAAGGCTTCATCAGTCAAGTAAACACACAACACAACACTGATTCTTCCCCAAAACAGCTTACTCCACCGTGGAACAAACCAGTTATGTTGGTGCTAAGAAATACACCATCACTAAAAACACCATCTTAACATCAACATAACTGGTTTGTTCCACGGTGGAGTAAGTTGTTTTGGGGAAGAATCAGTTTTGTGTTGTGTGTTTACTTGACTGATGAAGTCTTCTTGATGGAAGGTGAAACGTTTCAGCACACACAAAAAAAAAAATAAAAAAATAAAGAAAGAAAGAAACTGTCAAGATGACCTGACTGAAAAGTGTTGTAGAAAGGCAGTTTTCATGTTCTTACTGAAAGCTCTAAAAGCTATGCTTTCATTTATTACAGTCCTAGGAAGGAACCAAAAACAAGACTGTAGACCACTCTGTGAGGACTAACAGATTTTACTTTAATTTGGTGTGAAACCAATATGCAGTTGTCTAAATACAATTAAAATGCAAATGTCTTAGCTGTAAATGACGAGAACAACATTAACTGTCACTTCAACCTCTTCAAAGGCACAAAGGCGACATTCTCCATCACAATGAGTTAGTAAATACTTTTATGGCTCTTGAGTTCAGTGAAAATCATCAGTTTTTAAAAGACTTGAAGCAGATAAAGGGCTGCTTCAAGATTAGAATGCATTCATTCTAAACTCAGTTGTTGTATTTAAATACTGTTTATAATTTTAGGTATTAATATTGAATGACATTTTTTGTTAATGGCTCATTTCCCTGGAAACATATTAGTTTTTATAAGTTTCACCGCTGATGAATTTAAACTCCACAATATTGACTTGGTGTGTGTGCGTTATAAAATCTACAGAGGATCAGCAGGTCAGGGGTTGTTTATCTGGGAATTAATTGGTACACTTGATGGTTTGAGTTTATAGCTACCATATCCTTTCTGCTGATCTTTAAGGTTTCTTTCCACTAATTTTTATAATCGTACATTCAGATACACATAGCATTAATATCAACACAGCATTCTCATCTGCTTTTTTTTAATGAGAGTTTTGCAACAAGAAAATGACCATTTCCACACTGAACTTGCGCATTGTGTCCTGCTGGAGACAAAAGCTGTGAAAACACACCACTAGCTGAGAACATCACGTGTTAATAACTTCATGAAAGTTTGGTAAAGTTGCATGCATGCTTTTCAAAAATATCTCCTGTGTTCATGTTCAAAATAAATACAACAAAAGTGCGCTCCTGGATCGTGAGATCAAATTTGCTTATCCCTTTAGCAAGACTTGTGTCCTCATATGTCCTTAAGAAAGGAGTTTTTTTAACTTTCTAAGAGGCTTACTAATCCTCTTAGGTTTTAAATGAGGTAGAGCTGCCCTCTACTTTGGCTCATTACTATGTAAAGGTTTAATGTTACATTATAGGTGGTTTTCTTTTTCATTCAACCTTTATTTATACAGGTTAGTCTCATTGAGTCACGAGGACTCATTTTCAAGAGACCTGTTTTAAACAAAGAACACAGATGAGAAACAGACAAAAGTAGACAACCATAAAAGCATATAAAATGAAAAGTAAATAAAAGAAGTGATGTAAAACGAAACAAAAACAAGCTACATTATACAATGATGTAAAATACTAAAAACGGGAACATGTCTGCATTGATTTTTGCATTGAACTTACCAGTTACTTAAAATCACTTAGAGTTGTCAAAGCCGACAACTTCAGGTCTTTTTGCAAGGTGTTCCAGGTTACAGGAGCTGAGTAGGAGAAGGCTCTTTTGCCAAATTCGGTCTGTACTGAAGAGACACTGCAGGTACCGGTAATTATGTCTTGAGAGCGCACACTATAGCTGCACTCACACAGTGACATATAGGAGGAGATATATGAAGGCAACAGACCAAAGAGTGATTTAAAGATGAAAATGTACCAGTGTGAGAGTCTGTGAAGTCAATGAAGACCAATTGACCAATGAGTACAGGGTGCAGTGATGGGTACGGTAATTGCAGCCAGTTATGAATCTTAGTGTTCTGTTCACCAGTTTGAGACGGAACAAATTTGTCTGGATGATGTCGAATGCAGTGATGTAGATTGTGAAGAGGGTGGGTACTAAGACAGAGCCTTGTGGTACACCAATGTTGACAGTTAAATAGCTGGAAAAAGTACCATTATGTTGAACACTTTGCCTCCGATCTGAGAGATAATTAGAAAACCAACTGATAGTGTGGTCCAAGAAACCAGTGTCTGAGAGCTTATGTCATAAGAAGCTTCTTATGACATCTTATGACCGTTTGATACAGTAGACTCTAATGTATCAAAAGCTTTAGACAGGTCTAAATAAAGTGCAGTTCAATAGTCCTTAGCTTCCAATGCTTCAACATAATTAATTATTGATAAATGTCAGAGCTTTCATTTATTAACCAATATATTTTTCAGTACTGTTTTCAATCAGTGTCACTACAGATGCGTCAACATTTTCCCTCATTTTGTGTCCAGCCTAATGCTTCTTATCAAACATATATTGTACCCATAGAGAATGTACCCATGCACAGGAGAACATGCAACCTCTACCCAGAAAGGCCCCAGCCCAAGAGGTGATCCTGTGACCATCTGGCTGAGTAGTGACAGCCCCAACCTACGTCACTGTGCCGTGACAAAATGTCAAGATACTTTAATATGAAAAAAAAGATTACGTATAGGCAATTTTTTTAGACAAACATTAAAAGGAAAACAATAGTTTTCCTTTGACTATATATATATATATATTTATATGTATATATATATATATATAACTATAAACTATAAATAGTTTTCCTTTTACTATGTATAGTAAACTATATATAGTTTTTCTTTTAATTTTTAATGTTTTGTGTAAAGTAAAGTTGCATACTAATCTTCTTACAACTGCTCAGTTTCTGTTATTAAGTAGTAGTTTTTTTGTTTTTTTTTCTGCATTGACAGTTCTGACCAGTCAGGGCATAGTCAGAGACCTTATATGGAAAACCTGGACTATGCAGTACAAATATTTTATCATAGATCCTTAGGCTCTGTGAGCTGTGGGGTGGGATTTCAGTGGATTTGGTTTGCTTCCTATCAGATCTTATAAGTATGAATAAGACTGAAACATTGAGCAGTAAATGTCTGAAGCAGTCTATTTCAATGAGCCTTTCATAAGCTGCTTTGCTTAGCCCATTGTTTTCCTGCTGGGGTAAGGGGTGAAAAATTGCTCCAGTAGGGACGTGATTGTCTTACATAAATGTTTAGGTGGGTGGCAGGTACCATCATAACATTTACTAAAATGCAACAATGCATTTTTTTTCCCTGAAAAACAGCACTGGAACACGGTGAGCTGAGTTACTTTAGCTGTCTGGACAGATTGTTGTGGCTATGTGCAAAAAGTCATTGCGGCTTGACAACGTTTGGAGAGATTTTTAAACCTTGTTATTCATTATTATGGGGGTGGG